TCAGTCATTACGGAATAGAAAGAATTCAGATTTATAAGTGCTTCTCAAGTCTTCTCAAGTCACAGGCCCCAAGTCCGAGTCAAGTCCCGAGTCACTGACCTTCAAGTCCAAGTCGAGTCCCAAGTCTTAGTGCATTTTATCAAGTCAAGTCTCAAGTCCTAAAAATAGTAACTCCAGTCTGACTCCAGTCCAAGTCACGACTTGCAAGTCCCCACCTCTGTGCCAATCTCTACTGAACAACCTTTTCATGACATCACAATTTGGAAGAGAGCATTTTGAGCACTGAAGATGTAATAATAAAGAGTTCTTCAAACATGTGAATGAAACAAAACACAACTTCGGGTATGTTTTTGATGATTTAACAACATTCTAACATGATTAAAAGCTCACAAGAGTAAAATGTAGGACCTTTAACTTGCTTTTGGAAAACTGTTTCATTTGATCCACTCTCGCTATTTGAGAGTTTCACTAAAATAATACACGAGAGATTTGTTATTCCAGATAGTGTATAATCAATTCTGTGGACAGTTTACTCCAGGACACAGCCTATCACCACCTTGGTTTGAACCGTACCTTGTTTGGGCCGTTGTTATTTCAGATTAAACACAATCCCTCCAAAGCATCTCCAGAAGGTCATCTCTTCCTTTGGCATTTTAAAGACGCTCAGAACGGGCGAAGTGGACACGGCAAAACACAGGCAACTGTCTGCTGAAGATAATAACAATAATGAAATGGGATGTACCAACTTTTTAATTCTGATACCAATTCCAGTAGCGTAAAGTATTTGCCAATTTTAACCGATACCAGAGCAGAGACTGAAAACAGCATTTATTTCCTTAAAACAAAAATAAAATAAGCAAAACTGATCCAAAAACTGTATGTTATGTAGCTGTTATTTCTCTTTCAAGTAACTTTGTGTAAATAAAAGTAAATACTGTGAGACTTTCTGGGTCCACTAAAAAGTCTGATATTTGGAAGCCGATATCCGATCTAGCAAAGCTTTCAGTATCGCCGCCGATATCCGATAGCAGTATCATATAGGCGAGTTTCATTGTTGACAAAAGCGCGCGTTGCATACTGGGAATTATTTTGGTCGGCGGCAATAAACATTAATTCAACATGATGGACGGAGCGAGAAAGCACGTAAAGGGTATTGATCCCGGTTATTTATCCACTCTAACAGCAGATTGGACCCAAGACGATTTGACCAGAAATTGGTCATAAGCATCGATGGAGCCAAATCACCCTTTTCAACCCCGACAAAAGGTGGACAAAACCAAATTTCTGGTCGGAATCGCCAACTACCTGGACAAATATTCACTTCGGCGATATCCACAATGACTTGGTGGAAACTCCTGGGCCATTCACAGCAGAAAAGATGAAAACCTCCAAGAGTCTCGATGTGTTGTTGAACTTGTTGGAGTCCACGGTTTGCTAGGATCTTCTACGTTTGCTCTGCTGTTTGAAAGCCATTTAATTTGCTGTTCGTGGTTCTTTTCACTCAGAATACGAAAAAGACATTTTCCTTCTTCCGTGCTTCTATTTGTGCATCCGATAATGCAGCAGGAATTTACCATTATCAGGGATAAATACACGAGGTTACGCACTGTGTTTGACCGCTATCGTGTTTCTTGCCTCCGACCAAAATATTTCCCAGCATGCAACGCGAGCTTTTAATAACAATGACGTCAGCTGAAACTCGCCTATTGGTGCATCCCTAGTAATGAATATGGATAACAAGATAACTTTTTTGGAAGAAAAAGGAATACAGCTCAGTGTAACCCGGTTCACCTTTCACAGTCTCGCTGTTTCGTGGATTTTTTGGGTGCAATTTTGTATGCTTTTTTTTTTTTTTTACAGTGTATGAATTTGCATTGTGTTCCTCCCCCTGCGTCCTGATTGGCTAAGAGACCGTAGACCATTATCAATCAATCTCCTCGGTGCCGTGTCTCCTGTACAGTACAGAATGCATTCAGTTTGCCAAATTTACATAAATGTTCGATCTCTAACAATGTGATTCTGAAGTGCTGTATGTTTGTAAGTTTTTTCCCCGGCAGAACCCACAATGTCGACGAAACATTATGTACAGACAAAGGCTCCTGCGGTCACACCCAAAAGGCAAAGGAACATGCTCAAAAAGGTGGACTTCTGGACATGCTGAAGGAAGAAGTTACGCGGCTGTAAGCGCCATTACGGAATAAATGAATCTTCGGTTTGTTACATAAAGAAGAAGGAAAATAACATAAGGTCGACAGCAGCAATAAGTTTTAAGAAGTATACAAAAAGGACTGTAACTGTCCTGTCTGAGAAAAGAGTATAATGTGTGTGGTGAGGGCTTTTACAGCCTTAAAACATATATAATAACTGTAAAAAAAATAAAGCTGACTACTTTGTGGATTTCGCCTATTGCAGGTTATTTTTAGCACGAGGGCCCACTGTACACTTTGTCATGAATCTACCAGTGAGTAGGATTTAACGTTGTACTACGCAACTTTTCTGGAGCAGGTCTGTGTAACCTCTCAGTCGTCCAGGTAGGTTCCATTGCAATAGTCGTTTACAGTAATATTGTACTGTGGGTACTTCGTGATAAAAAGGGCCGGCAATAGTCGTTCATGATTTTTGTATCGTTGTGGTAATCGGCAACAAAAATAATCACCAGAATAGGCAGAAAAAAAGCTACTTATCTTAGTCGTTTACTTCTAGATGATTGTTGTTTTCACTTATAACAAAGTACACTATAACAGTTGTTTAAATACCCAACTTATTCATAATATTAAAATATATAATTATTAATATTCCATAACATCTTTAAACTGTCAGCCTCTAATTCTCGCAATGTAATTGTTAATCACAATTATTTTAGCCATGATAATCATCGAATTTCAGTATCATGCCATGTTTAAGTGTTGGACATTGAAGGCAGAGCAGTTTCATCTCCATGGAGACAAGCAGGTGGCAGCCTCTCCACTAGAAAACATTGCAAAAGAAAATTGAATCCTGTCAACTGGACCCAAGAGTGAATATGTTTTGCCACTCATTCAAGAGACTTCTTCACTTCTGGCAGGGTTTTGGTCACTGACTTCTATCTGTCTACAAGGAGGGGCTAACTACACCGACACTAACATAGACTAGTTCTTCAGTTGTTCAGATGACAGAATTCAATTTTCTTTTGCGATGTTGTCTGGTGAAGGGGCTTTCACCTGCTCGTCCCCATCGAGATGTAGTCGCCTCGAATGTCCAAGGTTAGTGTATTAAAATGTTATATATATCTATGGACACAAGCAGATAACACCATCAAACCAGTTACTGGATCTTTACAGTGACATAGAGTGCGTATACATGCACATTAATATCACGGTTATGATTGGATTTTTTTGAGTATCCTGGTTTCTTCATGGTGCATGTATATACAGTATCCCGGTTTCAGTATCCTGGTTATGGCAGTATTCCAGTTATTAGAAACCAGGATGATGTAGCTGGTATATTCCAATAGTAACCGGGATACTGTGGCATGTATACGCAGTATCCTGGTTACTGGAACATAAAGTTCAGTGCGCATGCGTCCTAAAGACAAACACTTTCCAGTCTTTTCACAGCAACAGTAGTGACATAAATAAAGTGACCATACATGAGTGAAATGACTGTACAGTAAAGAGCTGCGCTAAACCTGCACACGTACAATCTTCACTCATATGACCTGCACTCGTATGATCGCTGAAAAGCTAAAATATGAACTATCTCCTATACGATATACACAGAATAGACTCACCATCATCAGCGCCTCTTCTGTCACAAAAAGAACACACATAATCCACTGAGTCATGTCCTTTAGTCTAAAAGAAACTGATCACATCAGCGGCACAAGGAGCGAGCTGTTTTTAATGGGTGTTGGGAGCTGCAAAACATTAGCCAGGCTGGCACCACCTAGTGCCTCCACTCAATTTAATTTCTCTCCAGCGACTAGGTCAGGAATCAGAATACACTAGATGGTTCGCAAAAACCCCGGAAGTGCGAGTTTGGGCACCAGTCAATCAGCGAAGAGCCATACATTCTGTGTTGGCAACGATTCCTGAGATTGAGGATTTAAAGCCGGAACAAAGAGAATGTTTGGTGAATTTTATCAAGGGGAAAGACATTATTGCCCTTCTTCCTACAGGATTTGGGAAAAGCTTAATAAAGCAGTGACTGGTTATATTAAATAAGTACCCGCCTACCGTCGAGTAAACGAATCCTAACGCTGCGAGGTTAGACAATTTCTACAAAGTAAAACCGTCTGATGAATCAGGCTAGTGAAATGTATTCAACCAAAATATACTTTTGTCCAGTTGACAAATTGGATTTCTCCTTTTACCTGGACGACTGAAGGATTTTACACACAAGGAAACAGAATAAATATGTACACAGTGTAAGATGTTGTCTTTGCTTTTATCAAGGTTTCTCATCAAAAATATGCAACATTCATTGAAAGGTCTGAAGAGGTAAACTTAACTCTTGTAAGGTCTTCGGGTCTGTGGGACCCGTTTTCAGTTTTTAACTTCAGAAAAATTATAGAAAGAATTAGTTTTTCACCCTGAGATTATTTGGCCTTGGCTCATTTTGAGTGAGGAACATGAATCAGTAAAAAAATTAAATGACCCGGCCTTGCTTTCCACCCCCTTCACACTTATATTACATACAGGGTCTTTGGGTCCACTGGACGAGGAGCTACTGAAAGTATGAAAATCATAGCTCCTCATTTCCCCTTTCTCCTCTCTGGGCCTGTGTGTGGGTTGTGTTGTGTGTGTTGTGTGTTAGTGTGTTGTGTGTTGCATGTGTGCGTTGTGTGTGTGGTGTGTGGTGTGTTGTGTAGTGTGTTGTGTATGTGTCGTATGGTGTGTTGTGTATGTTGTGTATGTGTTGTGTGTTGTGTGTTGTGTGTGCACCCACACACAATCTGCACCCCCATCTCACCCTCTGTCTGAATAAATGAATCTAGTGGTCCCCATAAATATCTTTCTTAGTGGGAATCCCAATCACAGCTGATCATGATGGTGAAGAAAGTCTCAGTTCAGACTGCATTGGTACTGATCGTAGAAGAGACAGAGGGTTTTGATGGTGCAGCTGAGGAAGATGTCTCTGAGAATGAAGATCAAATTTGTGAAAATCCAGGGTCAGAGAGTGAGTTTGAAGAGAAAGGGGACAGGAGGGTGAAGATCAGCCAACAGAGCCAGGAGCAGGAGCATCCATGAGCAGCAACCAAAATGCAAGCAGACCTCAGTCATAGGACCAGTCTGCCAGCAGCCAGTCCCAGGACCAACTTGCGAGAGGCGAGCTGGTGAGCAGAGAGCCACCAGAGAGAGGAAGAGAGCAAGGTTTTTGATGAAACTAATTTATGCCTTCTTTGGGATTTTTATCCTTGCCGTTGTTTTCTGTGTTTCTCTGTGTGAAAAGTGTAAGAAGAATAAGAACATCTGCAATAGACAGAGTGAAACTCTGCCCCTCATGTGTGATATAGTCTGTCATGAAAATGTCAATGGAATTAATGCGTTCTTCAGAGAGATGTTGTGTAAACTGACCTGAGTAAGTTAAATTTCTGATGAAACTCAAAGAAATAGTTCACTAAAGTGTTGTGAGAACTTCTTTCATTTGTACATTGTTTGATTATTATCCAGTCATGACTGTTATATGATGCTTTTTTTTTTTTCTATTTTAATAACACTAACCTTTACAAAAACAAGTGGCCGTTTTATTCATAAATGCAATTTAACAAAGGTAAAGGGAGCAAATTTAACGATAAGTTGTTAATACTACTTCCAAATGGGATGAATTAAGCATCTGCTGAGAATTTTAACAAAAAAAGGTTTAAATATGATGATGTAAAAACCCCAAAGTGCAATGGGTCCACCAGACCCAGCAGGACTCCCTGTGTAACAAAAAAACGAAGACCTTACAAGGGTTAAGGTAAACTATTCATCACTTGCTGCTGGAGAGTGCTTGAATTAATCCTGATGAAAACTCTTCAAATCAAAATGCATCAGCGACATTGTAATAACACTAAATTGTAGTATTTTCTTTTCTATTCCCATATGGTCTTGTATCTGTGTAGATTTGTATGTTCTGATACAGCTCAAGATCATTCTAAAGCTATTCAGGAAAGGATCATTTCTGTTCTGTGGGTTTGACTTTTAGTATCGATACTAATGCCATACTTAGTTCTAGTTTCGATACTAGTTTCAGTAATAGTAAGCATCTGATTTCCGATACTTTTGGCAGCCCTTCGTTGAATATGTCTAATTTTGTCATCGAAAGGTGTAAACAGGCTCAGAGAAAAACATCAAAAAAGTGGCATGGCGTTACCTTTGCAAGGAGACACACAAAAACCCGTCACTGCTGCAGAAAATGAGATGATTCATTTTAAGGGGCTCTCAATGGGTAATTTTCAATTTAATATTTGAAAATTCTGGGTAAAGTAATGAATTCAATCTTTCCAATGTTATGAACAAAAATGAAGAGTCAATTTGAAGAGAATTGAGAACCGAAGTGAACAAACTAAGGATCAGCTCTCAGAGTGGAAAACACATTATTACACATTATTACCAAAAAATTACAATCTTATTTTTCTTAGATTGTATTACAAAAGATGATAAGACAAACTGTAATAAGGAGAAAACACAGAATGAAGGGCCTTTTTAGCCTTGATTAGTTACATTTATATCTATAATATTATTAAAAGGTCCTATATTACTCAAAATTGACTGACGTGAGCTTTAATCCATGTCAGAATGTTGTTGTCAAAATGCTCTGTTCCACCTTGTGATGTCATGTAGTTGAAGTTAACAAGTAAAATACTACCTTTTACCTTTTGTTCAGTAGAAATTGGCAATTCCATATCTGCAATGATGTAAATGATTGTAGTGAAGGTGTATGGAGTTTTAAAAAAGGCAGTGGAGCACTTCCTGTATTACCACATGACATCACAAGGTGGAACAGTGTGTTTCAGAAAATAGTAGTGATGGGCGAATGGAGCCTCGTGAAGCATTGACACCTCAGTCGCAATATTGTCTCAAATGGTTCGATGTGTCTGAGGCCTTGGAGAAACACTGACCTCTAGTGGACAAATTTAACAATAAGACAATCTTGTGTAATAATGATGATTTAAAATAATATGTAAAGAGCAACATAAATAACATGCTGTAAATAAGAAAGTAGGTGACCTTGTTAGGTGGAATTAGATCAAAGTGATCCCAAACCATGGATCGCTTTTTTCCACTTGTAGATGCCATCGAAAATGAAACAAATGCCAAAAGTCACCAAAATCACCACTAACGTCACACAAAACTCCTCACTACCCAACATTTTTAACAAATATTGGTGCATCTTTTATACTGTAGCAGTTTAGCGCTTGTCAAACCCCAGAAGTGCGCTGAACACTCTGAAGCACTCTGAACCAATCACAGAGCGGAACCTTCGCCGAGCCAATGAAATGCTTCGATACACTGAAGCGATTGACACGCAGAGTGAAGCAGTCGGGGGAGGGACCGACACTTCCACACTTTGGTCACGTGAGCGGCTGCTGCGAGACGAGCTCCGAGGCAGTGCTTCGAGACGTGCTCCGGAGCTCCGTCTCATTTGCCCATCACTAGAAAATAGCATAAAGACATATTGTGCTTTTTTTTGTTGTACTTAGTTAGGACTTTTTAGTTTGTCAGTTATTTTTTGTTTAAAACTTTTAACTTCACCTTCACTATTCTTTTTTAACCTACACTGTTAATTAATAAGTCACAATTTTGAGTTAAACCTACAGCATTTTGGTGTTTATTGTTGCTTCCCTCCTCCCCTAACAAAGGGAATGTAACGTATCAGTAACTTTTTTTTTTTTAAACTTTTTTTCACAAATCACAAATTAAGTAGAGACAGGGTAGCCACGGGGTCTTTAAATTCTTAAAAAGGTCTTAAATTTCATGTTTCCTAAATTAAGGCCTTAAAGAGTCTTAAATTATGTTGTCCAAGTCTTACTTTTTTTTTTTTTTAACAAAGGTCTTACATTTCATTTGCTTATTTTTTGTTACTCAACCAGGTTGCGATGCAATGTTAAATGGAGGGAGGAAAATAAACGACATCACGTAACGTAACGTGAATGAATGTCTAATTTGGAGTATGCGCAAACAATATTTTGGTTTCTGGTGCCGGTGGTAATGAATAAACCATCAGTAGAGTGGAGGAAGACGTTGGATGGATCACGGGAAAGTGCAGGTTTAATCCACAATGGCTCTTAGATTCTAGATATAGTAGTTGGTTGGTCATTATTAGAATTGGATCTGATGTTTTTCGCCTTCATAATGGGTGTGATGTTGGTCTTAATTTTCATTTAAATGGCCTTAAAAAGGTCTTTAAAAGTCTTACATTTGGGATAGTCAAACCTGGGGATACCGTGTAATAGAGAATATCGGTGTAAACAACAATTGTGCACAAATCACTTAGAATACAAGTTAATAATGAGGGAACACTGTTACAACATGGTAAAATGTCAATGTGAATTTAACATAATACATCCCAATTCAAGCTTCAAGCAGACGTAATCTTCAAAATAGACTTTCACGTTGTATTCGTGCATGTTTGAGCAATCTTTAATGACTTATTTTCAAGACGCCATATTGCCGATCAACTCCCATTTTCACTGCCATACGACCACTGCTCTGTACTTACTTCGTTCTCCAGTTTTATTTTCTGATTCACTTAGGATCCACCAGCTTTGCCTGATCATTTTGGTACAAATGAAAAAAAAAAAATAAATCTGTGGCTTCCTAGTGTAATGTGCAGCTGTCTGTAGGACGACATCTGCACTGGACACCTCGATTTTCTAACATGGAAATCAGCAGACCTGTTTTTTTTATTTAGTTGATGAATATTGCAATGTGCAGATTATAACATATTGATCTACGGGTGTCATAGATTATTAATTATTTAGCAGACACAAGCATGATATGTCTTCTTTAAAGCCTTTTATATGGTAAAAGACAATTCAAGGTATAGAAAGAACAATTTTATAAAATGTTCACCTAGTTTTGAAGAAAGTAAATGCATCAACTGATATTGGCAGTTACTCAAACTTCAAGTATATGTAAGAACTTAAAAAAAAAAAAAGTTCAAGAGTGCCCAAAGGTTAAAAGGAACAGGTTACAAAACAACTTTTTCAGCGTTGTTCACACTTTGAATGCTTTTATGTCAGATCTGCATGCAGACGCCATTGTTTGGAGAAGTCTTTTGAAAGTTATTTTGAAATGTGAGCAGAACAGTATGGGGTGAGGCAAAAGCTTGGATAAAAGTGTAAGAGTTGAAGACAAAGACAAGCCTGCAGGACCCCAGGCAGCCTGGAGGAGCCTCAGCACATGTGTTTTGACGGCTTGATTGGATTGTGTGGGTAGAGACTATAGCTAAAGAACATGAGGGAACATGATGATGGTCCATTTCCATGTTCCTACGTGGCCAACGCACTTAGAGTTGAATTAAGTATGTTAGCAATGTATCTTTTTAGAGACTTAAGATGTTTTATTCTTTTATCGTTAGTAATTTTGTTACTTTTACCAGTAACAAGTAATCTAACGAATAACTGCAGTAATGCCGTTGTAGTTACTGTCAGTTTAACGGGGCTCGTTGTTTTACTGTGAGTCGCATCAGCGGTGACAGATCAGACTGAGCTCTCTTGTCTCAATCAGAGAAGCAACACATTTTTTTCTTTGTTTGGGGAAGTAAACAAGGCCAAAGTGAGGGATTTAGAGACAGTGATTAGGTAAAACAGTGATGGAGTGTAAACGTGCAGTATGAGGTGGATGTAGACTCATTGGTTTAGTGCTGACTAGTGGCAAATATTGACTGTTTTCAACACATGATTAAATGTGCTTATTCTTTGTGGATTTTATGGTTACACTTATTATTTGGTGACCCTTTATGATGGGAGCACAAACAGATACTGCAGCAGGAATGACACGTGCGTTTAGAATTTACAAATCGTTAAATAGACGTCAGCGATGTGATAGTAGATTCAGCCCTCTGCTCGTAAGTGTGGCTCATATATCTGTTTGGAGCCTCTTGATGATGTGGTGTGCACATGTTTGTAATAGAGCCCGACCGATATGGATTTTGCTGTGGCCGATATGAAACCAGTATAATGGAAGTTGGAGCTGCCGATAGCCGATATAATCACCGATATATTTAGTGATGTAAAAAATCACTGTAAATGTTGAATTGT